AAACACAAGAATACTGATACTAGTCTTTGAAAAAGACCTCAGTACTGAATTATTTATGCCCGCACGACAAAAACAATAACACTAACCATTACAATAACAACAGAGATGGCTGCCGGAACAAGGAAAATGGCCAGAAACAATATGGCCAAGGGGGGAAAAAAGGTTAAATCGTAGAGCGTGCAACGAGACAACCCCAGTAGCTTTGTGGAGACACGCCATTTTGGCCTCACACCAACACACAAAAAGGCACAAAAGAGGCAGGGTCCACCCGGCTCCTGCCGTAAAGGACACATGGCGCATTGGTCTCAAACAAAAGGCAGTTAGTTTTTGACTTTTGTATCCCAGAAAGGCTTTTTTTTGGGATGTCAGGGTAGCAAGTGGTATGATACTTTCAGAGGAAGGAAGTGTTGCTATTTTATGGTTTCAAATAACAGATCTTTCAACTCTAATTCTCATTGTAATAATTACCAATATAACTGCATTTTGTTAAGAGGTATCTCTTAGTTCCTATCCCTACACTCTCCCCGAATTCCATTGTTGTTGTTACCCCTTTTTTCCAGCTGTTGGAAAACGTTTGCCGTCGTCATTGTCGTCGCCACGCTGTCTGGTCTTTGGACCTTTTGTGTGTTGTGTTCTTGTATTTTTTTTTGGGTGACTTATAAATTATGAAGAAAGTTTGCGGGTGTGGCAGGGGAGCCCTGCTTCCTGCTACATAATTGTAAAGTGAAAGCGAGACAGGGCCGGGAAGCAGAGCGAGAGAACACACCAGGCGTGGCACGGGGGAATGCTCACTTCCTCAGACATTGAGTGGCAAATGAGTTGCGAGTGAGTGTGGAGTCTGGAGTCTAGACACGAGGCGGCCCAGATGATGAAGTCGGGCAGACAGATGATGATTGAGGGGGTAATATAGTTGCACGTTCTCCAGGTCATTATTCAGTGGATAACTTACCTGCAATGAGAAGAAGGTAATATAAATTAGCATTTAAATGTTTTCAAAGAGACACTTAATCTAAGAGAGCTTCTCGAGTTACATAAACTATGTAGACTCAACTATCTGGGAGTAGAACAAGACAAACCCAATCAGTATCTATTGCCGGGTCAAGTGGGCACAATGTGGTAACAATGGTGCAGCCAACTCCCAACTACCAATAAGCTGAATGCTCCACCATCGATGTTTATCCTTAAATTCAATTTGCAATTTATAAGATTTTATGTGCTGGGTGCTGCTTGTTGAGTGGGGTTAGGGGAGTAAGCTTGTTACCGGGCTGGCACCCACACGCCCATCCTTCTATAGATATCCTACAGATATCCTATAAATTGTGCAGCTGCGCATTCCGTGCGAGTAACGCTCAATAGGGGCTAGAGGCTGGGGGCTGGGGGCTGGAGGGTCTGCCACATTGTCCACTGAAGTGGAATGCATGTACTGGCAACCGAGATTCCACCGGAGGAAGCCACCGCTTGGTCAACTGCCAATATCATGTTACGTGGCTTTAAGCAAAGTTCCAGCCGAACCATTATCTAATCTTTGGCTCTCTCTCCATTCCCCAGGACTGACTCGGATTTCTGGTCCTCCTGTTTCTGTTCCTTTCTCTATGTTCTCCCCTGTCAAATGCAAAGCATTCGACCTGGGAATAATAAGCAAATGATTTGTCATGTTAGCTGCTCGCCCCTGCCCCGCTCCGACTAGCTCCGGAATGCCGCAGGATTCAGTTAGCCATGACAAATGCTGGGTACTGACCGGGCTACAATGCAGCTAAATGCAGCGCAAAATGGAGATTTAAATAGCTGGTTGGGATTCCGGAGTGTCTGTCATTTCTCTGTTCCTTGTTTAGTGCTCAATTACGAGGTTTATTTGCATGTGAAATTCAAATTGAAATGGGTGCTCCTGGATGAGAAAAATAATGGTTTTAGAGCTTCGATTTGTTAGATTGGGCTTTAACTCATTCCAACTCATCTAACTCGGATCTCATCTATCTTTCAATTGCATTAAGCTTGTAAAACACTAAGAATCCCCCACAAATTATGATTCATTGTGGAAACTTTGCGCCACTCGTTTTAACTGCTTCCCTCCTGACGCAGGAGCAGTTTTATTTCAGGACTTTGCCCGTCCTGTGTACATTTGTCTTACGTGCCTTTATGCGCTTTTACTACTTAGTTAAACAATTTGGTTAAAAGTTGGAAAACACAACGCAGCCACCAACTCGCACACACAAACAGGAAACAGGAAAGCCACTGGATGGAAAGGATGAAACGTGCGTGCATTAGCAGTCAAATACTTGAGCAACTTTCCTGTTGCTCCTGCGTTCCCGGTGCTCCGGTTCTGCTGCAAATTAAATGTAACTGCGCCAAAGACACGTACGCCACACTGCCACGCTGCTCTGGCTACCAGGTGTGCTGGCGAGAGGAGCGTGGCAGCCTAATTGCGCCAAAAAGCCAGTTAATAATGGTGGCCAACACAAACACAAGCCGTGGAGAACAAAGAGCCGGGAGTTTAATTGAATTCGCGGGAGAATATGTATGTTTTGTTTCCCAATTAGCCGAGTGCAGTGAGATTAAAATAATTGTTGAAAAATCAATTATTTTTCAAGGATATTCATTCTTTAGTGTTAATAATTTAAATATTTTATACAAAAAACGGTACAAGCCAAGGGCAATAAATTTAATTAGATTTAAGCCCGTGTGGAAAGTACTAATTAGAAGCGTTTGCTTGGCAGCCTGTTGAATTAGTGGAATCGGTTCCAGAAGCCCGAAAAACAAAGGGTGGGGAAGGTACCGACTGGGGGCGTGAGGTAGTTGGAGCTAATTAAGCGTGAATTTATGCAAACGCATGTTGTGCATACGCCTCGTTTGCCAAACTAGCAACTCACGCACACAAACACACCATCATACACCCAGACAGAGCCATAAACTCTCGCACACTCGTATATTATTCATGCTGCCCAATTATGCGCTGCCCACAAAAGTAGGCAACATATTTTTTACTCTCTCTCTCCCATCCGACATCCTACTTCCGCATTTTTAATTTAATGCCACGCCCCCTCACTCCCCACATTTTTTTTTCTGGCCCGGCGGCTGACCAACTGTTTTTGCCATTAAGCTTTATTTATGAGCCTGCTGCCGGCCGGCTCGGAATACATTTGTTTCTGCGGCAAAGCCAAAAATTTGATAAAAATTAGCCCGGACGCCTAATTGCGCCCATAATTGCAGTGAAGCGTGTGCATTGTTTATGGATAATGGCCAGTTATATATATAGACATGACAGGCCCTCTATAGCTATCAGCAGAAACAGATACTAACTATTATGTAAATGAGTTAAAGAAGTAGCCACAGAAGGGATGTTAAGCATTATTACCTCTGAAGCACAACCTTGACCCATTACCAGAAAAGTTTCGGCAAACTTTGGCCCCACCAGATGCCTTCATAAAATAACGAATATTCCTCGGAAAGCTCGAAAAGTTCGATTAAGGATCCTGCGGGCAGGAAAGCACTTAAACGCTAAGCTCGAATGCAGCGGCACAACATTGTTGGGTAATAAAGTCAACTTAATTACAATAAAGCGGTGAAGCAGGAAATCAAGGTGCTGGAAAGGTGCTCGTAACGAGTAACTTTTGTGTGTGCAGCTTTTGTTTTCTTAATGAGTTAAGGAGTGGCAAGAGTGGCAGGAGTGGCAACAAGCAGCAAACAACAATTTCATAAACTTGGCCGAAAAAGCATTTGAGCTAAAGACAAGACAAAGTCAGGCTCTAAAAGGTTAGTGCATATGTTGCACAACGTACTTAGTTAACTAAGATGCACTGAGAGGATACAACGGGATATATTCCAAATATACCTTTTAGAAAATAATAATCCCTAAGATACATTTTCTGAAAGTGTATCGCCTAGGTTACAGGAATTCAGGAGCAGGATTAGAGGAAGCAACAGCAGCCGGAGCAGCACCAATGGCAACAATGGCAGAACAAACGACGCGTCGGATAACGGAAACGGAAGTTGCTTACAAGCGTAGTAAGACTCTTGGAGCGACAGAGATAGCTTGAAAGAGAGGGAGCGAAGGCAGGACTGTATCTTAATGGCTTAAGCTTTAAAATGGGCTGCATTCTTTATGGATGCCCTTTCATCTTTTCGCGGATTTTTGCATAGAAATTGTCTTTTTCGCGGAGAACATCGAAAATGCTAATGATGCTTATTGAAAGCTCCATCGAAATCGAGCCCAGACCTCCAAGGCCATGTCTATAAATCATGAGCAGGAGGCTCCCTCCACCCACTGCCTCCCCCTACTATATCCCAACCCACAGAGCAAACTTTGGCAGTTAACTTTGACTCAACCGACCGCCTCATATCCACAGGAATCTACCCACAAACTTGATATCTGTGTGGCAGTTGCAAAAAGTTGCCTGCTTGCCACACTTTTCTGCCCAATCAACTGTAAGCCATATTTTAATAGTATTCCCATGTGTGTGTCTGCCTTTGTTTGTTTTTGTTCCGCCATGCCACATCAGAGTACTCTTAGCGAGGCGGTTAAAAAATATTTACAAAATGTATTTATTATTACAGTGTTCAGTAGTCGACGCTGCTGTCCAACCGAATAAAAAATTAAATTCATGTGCCAGAGTGTGTATCTGTGAGGCAGAACATGTATCTGTATCTGCGCGCTGCCTGCATTTAATTAAGTTTTGTCGGTTTTTAAGTGCGACTGTTTTCGCTGCGCCCGATTACGCTGATAAGTTTCATTCTCGCGCAAAAAAAAATTGTTTATTGCGTAAATATTTTTTTGTGTTTTGCACAAAATATTTATGCTATTAAATTAAGCGTTAGCCAGTTTTTTTCTCAAGCGCCCAGATGGGTTTATGAACCGATAAACTGTACTAACGTTTATTCGCAGAGGAATACCAGAAACGTGCATCAGCCGCGAAATAAAAACATAATTCAATAAAGCTGTTTTTAGGATGAGTTATTGGGCTTATGGGATGAAGGATCGGGTTTAAAGTAAACAAGACTATTGGTTTCCTAGAGTCGAAGGTGCATTTTATTAGAGCGCCTTAAATTATCTTAAAAATATTCATTTGTTGCCCATTTTTGTAAAATAAAGTCTAGAATGCGGTTAAATATGGTTGGTTAGATATGTTGTGGTTAAATATTGTTGTGGATAATATATGTTTGGTTAAATAGATAGCTTTATAGCTTCATCTTCATCTCCTCCAGCATGCGGTAGACCTTGATGAACTTCTTCTCCACCACTTCGGTGAAGGCCTTGATCTCATTGCGCACCACGGATAGCTCCATGGCGGCATCGGAGCTCCCCGAATCGCACTTCTTCGACTGCTTGTCACTCTCGTACCAACAGGCAATGCCGTCCACATAGTCGTCCACTAGCTCGGGGGCCGTCACGTCCTCCATGAAGGAGATATCCTTGCGCTTCACAAACGAACTCATCAGCAGCTGGAGGAAGTCGCAGTTCCAGTTATTCTGCTGAAAGTAGAAATACTGTAGCGCCTTCAGGCTGTCAAAGATGGTGATCTTTAGCGAGTAGATGGAGTTCCCGGATATATCCAGCATCTGGAGGTGGCCCTGCTTCTTGAACACGCCCTCCGGCAGCTCGTGGGCGTTCGTCGTTGACAAGTTGAGGCGCAGCAGCGAGGTGAACCTTCTCAAGGGATTCCCCTGGAGATTGCCCATTGGGTTCTGAGATAGGTCCAAGCTGGTCACGTTGGCGGCCAGCGGGATATGCGGCATCTCCCGCAGCGAGTTGTTGTGCAAGTCCAGTTCCCGGACGACCCCGTAGACCGTCAGTCGCCGCAGATCGCAACTGTGGGCGATGGCCGTGTCCAGCGAAGTAAAGTTCAGGGTCAGCTCCTGTATGATGTTTCCCGAAATATCCAATTGGGTCAGGCGAGGTTGCAGCCTCAAAAGCTCCGATTCGAAGGCGCTGAACAAGTTCCGTCCCAGGTTCACCTTGGTCAGATTCAAATTCCTGTCGAACAGTCCCCGGGGCAGGGCCTCAAGGCGATTGCCGGCCAGGTTCAGGTCCACCAGCTTCCTCATGCCACTGAACACGCCCAGGGCCAGCTGTTCCAGCTGGTTGTCCGCTAGCGACAGCTCCTTCACCTCCTTAAGGGCGTGGAAGCTATGGTTGCCCAGTTGCTTCAGCTGGTTCCCCTGGAGGTGCAACGTGGCTAGGTTGTCGGCGCCCAGGAAAATATTCTTCGGTATGTCCTTGAGGCGATTGTGGCCCAGGTAGAGGCCCATCAGGTTGCTGGCGCCCTCGAACTGCGGCTTCTCGAAGGTCTCCAGCGAACAGTTCTCCATGCGCAGCACTTGCAGGTCCGGGAAAGTGTCGAACAGCAAGTGCGGAATCTTGGCAATGCTCGAATTGAGAAAGGTGAGCATTGTCATTCCGGCGATGGGCGCCTGCGACAGGATAACGTAGTCACTGCGACCGATCTCGACGTTGGTACAGATGCCGGCGCTGCAGTGATCCTGCAGCCAAAGGCGGCGCAACTGACCACTGCCCGAGGGTGGGGCCAGCTGGTGGGACTGCGGCAGCAGCACCACCAACTGCACCACCAGCCATCCGAATAGGGGCCACTCCAACATGGCCATTCCGCCCGACGTTCACGATTTCAGGACCGCCGAGATGCGATCCTTTGCGCTCGGGAGCCGCCAACGAAGCGCTCGCCACGGCGCAACCGGCTCAACTGCTTCTACTTTTTCGATCTGGCGATGTCCAAGCTGAATTCTAAAAATCTAGAAAACAATAGCCAGCGGCCCCAAATGCGGATGCGGGTGCTTCAATTCAATCGGATCGCACAGCACAGCACAGAAGGGGTCGTGCTCTGCAGTGTTTCTGATTTAATTCAATTAAACCCTGTCCCGGTTTCTATTCCAAAAATCATTTCGTGTTGAACTTTCAATTTCGTTCACTGGATATGGGTTTCTGCACTGGTTTCATTGCATTTTATATCTATTTCGGAGCTCTGCTCCGCTGCCCGTGTCTGGCTGATGAATATGAATGCTTTTTAAAGTAGGAAATGGTAAACAAAAACCGACAGGGTTTTGCACCAAGGGTTGCCTCTATTGGGTGGAATTTGCTTCTAAAATTAGTTCTTTTTTTGCAGAGACAATAGTTTATTACTATGGAGAATATATGTATCAGATGTGAAGCCAAAGTATCTGTAATATATCACTTCTTATCTGGAAAGGGTCCAACCAGCCCTTTACCAACCGACCCAAAGTCAAGATCTTCGGATAAGCTCAACCAGTTTGGCACGTTGACCTACTTGATGAGATGAGACCACTGATTGATTGCCTCGGAAATCGGCCCAGAGTTGACTGAACTTGGCCACTACCCAGAACCTTTCCACAGATTGCTATCTTGGCCCGAAGCTTGGTATAAAAGTGACCGCAAGAGTTAAAGCCTCATTAGTGTACCAACATGAATCGTGGAGTGCAAATATTAGGTGAGCCACCAGAAGTGGATCAGACAGATCAGTGACCACAAAAGTAACCCAAATCTTTCTAGTGATCTTGGGTCTGGTCTGCGGAAGTCTAGCCCGGATTCCCAACCTTCTTCGGGTCATTGGAACGGGTCGTAGTGCTGTGGACCTGGATGTGGAGGAGCCTAGCGGTCCTCAGATTCTGCTCTACTCCCAAGGGGACATCGCATCGGCCAGATCCGACGACTCCGAGCCGACCTTCCACGAGCCACAGATCCGGGAGGAGGTGGCGGAACCCGACCTGGACAAGGACAGTCGCAAAGTTCCCGACTACCTCTACTCCAACTCCATTCCCATGGTCAATGATCAGAATGTCAAGTATGTGGTGCCCCAGTTGGCCAACCTGCCGGTGGTCTACGGCCCTCCCATCATTTCCAGTGGAAACAGCAAGAATGGACTCGGACAGAACCAAGGAAGCGGTCTATCCTATGTGGTGGTGCCCCGCGTCCAGCTGGGCTTCAATGTCCAGGGTCAGTCGGGCCTGAACTGGCCAATTGCGAATCAATTCTTCGGCGAGTCTCCGGCTGCCGAGAAGGAGGAACCCACACCACCGACTGCCTACATTCCCATCCCAGTGCCCGGTCCTCCGGGCCCACCCGGTCCACCTGGGCCACCTGGCATGCGAGGACCTATTGGACCCACCGGACCGCGAGGCCAACGAGGTCCTCCAGGTGAGCCAGGCCTTTCCTCAGTGCAGAAGCCGCAGGGTATCTGGTACACACAGACTGGCAGCAGCAACTCCCAGCCCCAATACACCCAACCCTTTTCCACCGCCTACCAGAGTTAGACTATAAGACTAATGCGATTCTAATAAAGGCCAACTATGAGAGGGAAGTCTGTCGAACAACAAGCTCTTAGGACTTGATTATATCTATTCACAGGATGTGGTCGCATGACACCATATATATCCCATTCCGTTTACTTTATTCCCCATTACGGCATCCTCTAATCTGCGATTACCGGCGGTACACTTGCACCTTCAGAGAGCACGTCGCCGGCATTATCTGCGGAATCGTATCTATATGGCGCAATATACGCCATAGCTATTGTAACGAGTGTGTCAAAGCGCTGTGGTCAGGCCATAAAAGGTCTCTCAGGCAAGGAATGGTCGTGCCTGGTGTCACCTAATGGCGACACACTCGCACCCACTCCCCAAACCCCACACTCTTGTGCAGACGTAAGCATTATGATGATTGTGTGTAATTTACATGGATTTTAATATCGCCCATCTAGGGGAGGTGGCAGGGCAGTTGTTGTTTGTTTTTTTTGCTGCTGTCAGTTTTTTATTATTTGTTGCCCCATTGACGGCGGCACCTGAAACACGATAGCCATCTCTGTCTTATGACAGAGGGGTTTTGGTGCCCAGCACTCAGCACCCAGAACCCAAACCATCAGCCTCATTTAGTTTTTATTGCTCTTTAGTGGCTCTCTACCCAGCTCTTGGCATCAATTGATACGCAGCACGCATTTGTTTCAATTAAATGAAAATGCCTCGTACGGCTTGGAGCTGTGGGCCTGGGGCACCAAAATGATAGATGGCTCTGCGAAGGAAGCTCCTCACAATCCCCTCGAAATTCCCTCACAAAAGCACATCGCAGCGGAAACTTTCTTATCTCGAAATGTAAAGCGAAATTCTGACAAAACAGCAAATGTCAGGGCGGAATGACAGGACATGATTATGGCGTCAGCCAAGAAAAGAATCCTTAGCACATGTTTTCCCTTTTTATGGAGGAGGACGTGGAAGAGTGTCTATCTGTGCTCGCGTGCGAATAAAACTTGAATTAAAATGCTTCTTTGTTTGTTGTTCGTCGTTGTGGCAACACCTGACTGATTAGGACTCTCTTCTCTCCAGAGACCGAAGAATTCATACACACATCAAAAGAAGCTGGTGTGTGGTGTGTGGCACCTGCTGATTAAGTTAAAATGTTAATAAATATGATTATCGTGCTGTGTTCGCCGCCCCGACTTTCCGCCATTAAAATGATTATGGCAATAAATAATAAAGTGTTGCGGGGTGTCTTCTGTGTCTTGGCAGTTGGGAAGTAACCTCTTTGATGTGGCTCCCGAATCTAACAGGCATGTGGAAGCAGAAAATTGACTTTTTAAAGCGGTGACTTAAATATTTTTTTAAATAATAAAATTAAAGAATATCAGAATGAATGGGCTGCAAAACCATTGTAATTTTCATTTTATAATTGTTGATTTAATTTATTTAATTTCAGTCAATCGAATAAATCAATCAAACCCACTTACAAATGCAAGCCAACAATGTAAAGTCAATGTTATTACTGTTTTAATAAAAAAAACAATTATTCTTAAACAAAAAAAAAATTATACAACAAAAGCAATAAAAGCCAGTCAATTAAATTCCAAAGCGCACAGAGTCGAGAAAGCTAAAATAAACAACAAGCTGAACCATCCAACTCCACAAAATCGCCACTCAACTATCCCAGTTAAGTTAAAAAAACGCTTTATTAAAAAATGCCTGGAAAATATTTGCCAGGAAGAATGAACAGGAGAGCTATGTTCAACGAATTTAAATAGTCGAGGGAAGTGCGTTGTAAGAAAGCACTTTCCTCATCGACAAAAGTATGCTCTTTCTTTATTTAGAAATATTTAAAAAATTGCAGATATATTTAGTTAATTTTTTGTTCAATTTCAGTTATTAAATTTCAGTCTTCATCAAAAAGGGTATAAAAAACCGGACCAGAACCCAAGTTGGCTCTAATTTGCTGGCCAAGTCAGCGAAATGAACACTGACCGGAAGTACGGCGTTTTGCGTGCAAACTGACAATTTAAACAAAACAGCAGAAGAACAGAAGGAGACCAAAGACTCGAGCCAGAGCTAGTGTCTCGAAAAAAGAGAAAAATTAAACCTTGGCCGGATATAATAGGATGAAGCAGCTCTGGGCGGGACAGGATGAGCGGCTGCAGCGGAAGCTCCGCCATTTTCATGCCAGCTTTGCACTTGCATATTTCATGAGCCACAAAATTTATGAAGAAGCGGCGGGAATGTCCTGAAATGACGTCGCGTAGCACTCCAATCGCGATTCGATTGAGTGCCTTGGACAGTGGCAAGCACTTAGTGCCTCGAATTTGGCTCTAATAATTCGCACACTCGATTATTATTTATTCATTCGCTTTGCATTTGCATCTGAAATGCGGCTCGAACCGATTAATATTTAATGAAAACCGCAGCACGCCAGAGCACCAGCCGACACAGGAGACACAGGAGGACATAGAGGGCTCAAGCGGCTTAAGTGCTAATGAAACTTGCTGCTGAAATATTCATGTAGCAGTAAAATGCTCTTTTTGAACTCTCAGTCGGTTTTCGGGCTTGTTAGTTAGTCTTACATTAAAACCGATACCTAAACGGAAGTTTCACTTACTGACTATTTGTGTTTCATGTGGGAGTCGCTTACCTGGAAGAAGACAAGAAAATAGCCTGATTAGATATCGTTATATTAATCGTTGAGGATCAACTTAAAGCTCTACTGGTTTGGTATGCCTCCTGCGCAATTATACCACACTCTAATGACTTTTAATTAGCGCACAGATTTGTAAGCAAGCACACAGAGACATGGTCTTATCTCTAGCCACGTCCTGTTTGCTGTTCACCTTCCCTAATTCAGTCTAAGGCCAGGTGTGGTTTGTCTGGGCCGGATTCCATTTTTTTCCTCCGACCCATTCCATTTCATTGCACAATGACCATAAAAATGGCCCTAAGCGGCGGGCCATTTTAGCTGGACTTGGCCCCGGCAAGGACCGAATCCTTAATTACCATTACACCAGCTCACATGTAGGTAAACAAACAGTGGTGGCCAGAAACTTAAGGACAACAAGGTAAGGTACTGGACCTGATTTCCTTTACCTATTATTTTGGCCACCACCGTAGGCAAGTAAAACAGTTTAGTTCAGCTCTCGTTCTTCCCCATTGTTGTCATTATTATTCATAACTTGCCAGACAGTCGCCCTTTATTTATGTTCCAGGACTCGTTGCAGGACTCGTTCTGTCTTTCCCACCACCCTTTCCCCAACCATGTAATAGGTGTTAATGTGTTTTATTGTTCTCGGGCAGCCAGGTGGCAGTCTCGGCAAATAAATGAACTTGACTGCTGCGCAATGAGACAGAAATCTTAATGGAATTACAGATCTCGAACGTTGTGTAATCAAGTCGAGGAAGAGAACTAAGCCAGACAGCCCAGAGCCTTAAGTTTCGTTCTTTGGCTAATATGCCTTCTGTCGCCCAGGAGGAAGACCTCTAGTGCAGACAGAAATGATTCTGACAAGTGTCAATCTGGTGTCGCACACACTGAAGGCTCGGCAGGCGACAGTATCCTGTTCTCGTGCCTCTGGTACCTCTTCACATGTGTTAGTGGCGAAAATGCTTTCATTACGGCCCTCAAGTGGAATGCCGAGTGGGCCACTTGACGTTGAACGCGACTTTGAAGCCGATGATGATGCTGAGGCTGATGCTGAAAGCCATGATGTGGCCATGAACGGGGGCTGTGGCTGCATCGACCGAGACAAGCCTAAAACTATGCAACACATTTTATTTTCGGATTACATCTTTTCAGCCAAAACGACTCTGAGGCTAAAATGCAGGCTAAGGTCAGCGTACAAGTTCAATAAACAGGCACACACACAGGGACACAAAAGTCCTCTAATTGCAGCGTTGATTGCCATCCGTTTTTCCATGCGTCCTTTTTCAATGTCACTTGGCAGGCAGGCAGTCGGGCAGGACAAAGTGCCTTTGTATCGTATAGAAACTTTTTGAATGCATGCCAAAAACCAGTGACGAGAACAAAGATTCCAAGGGGCGGGGTTTTGCCTTTACAAAGGCCTCTACATAATCGTCGCTAAATTTATTATTCTGTCAACTAGAAAACTCTTCCATCAAGTCAATCAAAAGTATAACAAATGAAACTGAGAGTGCAGCACAAAATGCATTTTTCATCAAACAATAACTGCTGGTAATGCCCTTCTAACTCTTGTATTGTTTCGCTTTTTCCAACTGCCAGATACTTCAACACAAATCCATCTAAATCAGCCATCAGCCATAGTCCTCTGGGCTAAGCGGCACTTGAATGTGTCGGTGGCAATTAAAATGCCAATCCATTCCCACAAACACGGCCATGATATATGAACGTGGCTCTAATAACTCAAATTGTCATTTGGCATGCGGGCTAAGTGGATGGAATTGGAACGCTAGGCGGTACATAGGTGGGGCAGGTCATCAGCTAGATCAATAATTTATGTTGACAGGGGGGGAAAGAGTAACAATCATCAATTAAACGCCGGGTGATAAGGCCTTTAACACAATCGATTCTTAAATGAATTATTTTACACTTAAAACCATGGAAAAGCTTTGAAAAACCTGTTTAAAAGCTTTTTCTAAACGCGTGCGCTTACCAGGGGCCAACGCGGCGTATACTTAATTTCACATAACGTATACGCAGGGTATGTTGGTATAAAGCCGAAAGAGCGACGAATATATTGTATGATTGAATCGTTCGGTCAAATATTCTATTTCCATATTGGACTAATCAAGCAGAAAGTGTTGATTTGATTCCAATCCGCAGTCGGAGCCCCAAAACTGCAATTGTTAACGACTTGTTTGCCTCGAGCTCTGCGGTGCTCGGCAGGGCTGCAAAGAGTGGAAAATTTTCAATATTTATGCTTTGGCAATATTTACAGTGATTTTCTAACTTTTCTCCGTCGCCCACTGCTACAGCCACTGCCCACCAATACACAATCGTTACACTTGATTGAGCAATGTATAAATTT